AAAAAAAAAAAAAAAAAAAAAACCGGGGTCAAGGCTCTCTCCCCCCACCAATAGACAGGAAGGGCCTCCTGACCAAAATCCGAGCAATCACAACTTGAAGGAGGGTAAGACCGTAAAAGGGCCTCCTGACCCTACAAGGAGGGTAAAAGGGGCTCCGGAGTCCTGACCCCTAGAGTCTGATCAAATTTGAAATGTATCCAGACTGTTTCATGATCTTTATGCATCTGGACTGCCCATATATTGTATACTTGAATTTCTGACATGTAATAAAAAAAAAACATTGCAAAGACTGAATCTCCCTTTCCGAAACGCACACACACACACACACACAAAAAAAATAATAATAATAAAAAAAAAAAAAATGGTGTTTCCACCCCGCATCCCCCTTGTTTGAAGGATAGGACGATGGGGGCGAGGAGGGGGAAAGTTCTTTTTTTTTTTTTTGGTTTGGAGATGCTACACGGAAAACAAAGAAAGAAAAGGAGGGGAAAAAAAAAGGCAGATGAACTGCTGAAGAGGAGGAGGTTAATGTCTGCTGCGAGACAGTTAAGAGCTGCACAAGGGAAAATAGGACATCAAAGAAAAAGAAAGAGGAAACGTTGGACATTATGATGTGTGATGTGCTCCCTTAATTCTTTTTTTTGCTGTGAAAATTTGTGAGGGACGTAGGGCCCGGTTTCCGGCAATTTGTAAAGAAAGTTCAACTTTGAAAAAAAAGAAAAAGAAAAAAAAAAAAGAAAAGAAAAGAAACAAATAAAACGAAAGATGGTGGAGAGATCTGCTCCCTATCTCTGTGGAAAAAAAAAGATCTGCACCTTGTCTCTCCTCCTTTTGTTCGCAAAAAATTTACCTGGTCCTTTTGGACAGACACCTGTCATTGCTGTCCTTGAAAAAAAAAAAAAAAAAAAAAAAAACGAAAAAGAAAATAAAGCAAAGAAAGAAAGAAAGAGATGGAGATGCGGTGGAGTAGTGGTAGGTTCTGAAAAGAAAGATATGGGGCCTCTTTTTTTTTTTTCTTTTTTTTTTTAAACACCCCTTCCTGTGCTAGTGCTGCTGAATAGAGCAGGCAGCACTAGCACCGGAGGAGAGGCTCCATCTATTGGTGGGGACCGTCACCTGCTGGAAACCGGGTCCAGCTTCCCATTTTACAAAGAGAAAACTAGTTCGGAAATTGTGGGACCAATCACTATGAATGGCTGTGAGACCTGCCAGCATTGATTGCCCTGCAGAATCAGGGGATTAACTGAGCAGGCAAAGGTGCTCGTGAGAACCAAAAGAGTCAAAAGAGCAGCTAAGCAGCCTTAGCTGAGCAGCCACTGTGCAGACCTTGGAGAACCAGAACCTTGGCGAGCTGTTGTCACCTTTGTATCTCTTCGCCCTCAGAGGAAGAGCGCCAGATAGAAGATTCAGGACTGATACTGTGAAGCGGCTGTGAAACGGCTGCTTGCTCAGAAGAAGACCTTGGGAAACTGCTGACAGTGTCACCTTTGTATCTCTTCACCCTCAGAAGGAGGGCGCCAGATAGGCAATTCAGGACTGATACTGAGGAACGACCGCTCGTTTCACCCACAGACGAGACAGCTCGCCTGTCTGTCCTGATACTTATTCCAGGGCCTGTCTGCTCCGAGCCCAGTTTTGCTGACTACCCCTACCAGCTTGCCTGCTGTCCCCGCTCCGGCTGCAACAGCAGAGGTTAGCGGACGTAATGAACAAGCCGGATCCTCCCCAGGGGGCTCCGGGGAGGATTTCCTCGCGTGGCCCGGAGGGACAGACGAGTCAGGAAATGTGTGTGGGGGGGTGTCAGGTAGGTGGGGGAGATATCATTGTCCTTTTCAAACCAGGGTTTCCGTCACTGAAAGGGCATGGGGAGGAAAGGGATCTGGGAAATCCGTGGGGGGGCGGAATTGGCCCGGAGGCCTCTATGTTGGTCCGATCCTTGAAAACCTCATTCCACACCACTTATGAATTCTTACATTGTAAGGGCGCCCTAACTGGGCCAGGGTGATTAATTTACCCTAGTAACTCTTTTTTTCATTCCACAGCCCGTAAGGAAGACCGTACACTTACCCGCCATTACATCTCAGGTGAGGAGGGCCGGGTGTTAGGACCTCGACACCCTCGACCTGTCGGGCAATGGGCTTTTGAATCATCCGGCGGCTACCCCTACAGCTGTAGGGCTTGTGCAACATGGGTTGAAGATCGACACCAAATGTGCTAGATGCCAATGGGCTCTTGAATCACTTCCCCACATGTGGTGGGACTGCCCAGCATCACACAGAATCTGGACATGGTGGGACCAAACACTGGGACAGGATTACATTTGATTCAGGGGCGATACCATGGGATAGGACGTGGGTTCTCATCGGAGGTGTCCCGGATGGACTCAGTTTGCGAGAAGGATGGGGATACATCGCTCAAACAATCAGAGCGGTGATATGCACTGTGATATGGCATGGAAGAAATGACGTTGTATTTACAGACAAAGATTGGTCCAACAAGCAGCTCAGGAGGGAAAATTTTCAAGGCATCAGGAGGTCTACCCTTGCTGACTGGAGAAGGAAAGTTCTCAAAACGAAGAATGGATCATCTGGCCAGAGATGGTTCTCCAAGACTTGGTGTTTGAACCACTCGCTGGCAGACGTCAGCGGTGAAGGAAAGCTGGTGCTCGACAAATGGCTATTTAGTTTTAAGGATTTACTCTCCCTTCTCCTACTCCTTTCCATTGCTGATTTTAGGTCCCCATCCATTTGTTTCTTCTGTTTGTTTTGTTGGGTTAACCTGCACACGCGGTTTCTGGTTCAGTCACAGTAGACAGGCGGATGGTGTATCATGTAGCTGTCTCTTATACACATCTAGATGTGTATAAGAGACAGGACGTGCGTAGGCCGAGGCCGCGCGCGCCCTCGCCTGCAGGATCCGCGGCCGTGGGGGTCACGTAGCCTACAAGGGCTCCTACTGGACCCCGACCTGGATTTAGGGGCTGCAATTAAGATAAGAGCAGCCACGCGACCTTGGCCGGCCTCCTCGGCCGCAGGATCCACGGCCGTGGGGGTCACGTAGCCTACAAGGGCTCCTACTGGACCCCGACCTGGATTTAGGGGCTGCAATTAAGATAAGAGCAGGCAGCACTATTTCCCCCGGGCTTCTCAACTGAATTTACACCACCTCAGTCCTCTCCCCTCCTCCCCCCTTTCCCCTCTATTCACTCTATTCACTCCAACTCTACAGAGTTGACGCCAACACCCGACCGCGCTTTCACCTCCCCACCTCACCTCACCTCCCTCCCTCCCCCTCACCTCACAATCTACCTCCGTCTAATCCCCCCATTCTTTCCAGCCTTTGTTAACCCCCCTCCCCAAACTCCTTCTTAAACCCTCTGGTGAACCAGGGCACTTGGTTCAAGTTGACAGCCGCAGGAGGCTACCTAGGGTAGGGAGGGTAGGAGAGTGCCCAGGGGCCAGGACTTAGATTAGGAGCCTGTAAGGACTCCTCGCGGCTGTTCTAAGTCGAGTTCAGGCCGGTTTAGGCCTGTGTAAGTCAAGGTAGATTAGTCAGCTGCCTAGGCAGGTTTAGTGGCTAGGCTAGATAGGTTGAGTAGAGGGGCAGTAGCTTAGTGGCAGCACAATATTAGTGGACAACAAGTTGAGACATCCTGGAGTACAATGAGGAGTGAATTTTGTATCAGGCTAGTGTTCTACACAGCTTGACATTATCACACATTACCATTTGGATGAGGCTGTAGTGCAGGTTTCGGTTCAGTCTGATAACTGTAAGCTAAACCGGCTGATGCTGCCAGGATAACTCCGGGTGGAATTGTGAGGTCCCCGGCCTCAAACCTTCATTTTGGAACGTAACTCACTTTTGCAAAAAAAAAAAAAAAAAAAAGAAACAAGAAGGAAAAAAAAAGATAGCGGCGCTGTATCTTTCCATGTTCTACCGAATGATTCACTCTAGGCTTCCACCATTGATCTCCAAATGTGCAAAAGGAGAGTGAATTTTCACAAGAACATGGAAAGATACAGCTCCGTGATTTTTGTCTTCTTTGCAACGGGAATAGAGGGGCCCAGCGGGATACGCGGGCTGACAACAACGCAGATCCAGTTTCTTTGGTTTTTTTTTTTTTTTTTTTTTTTTCCCTTCTCAGATTTCCTGACCTATGCGTGTCATCCTTGGGGTCTCCTGGCGGTGCATCTTTCCATGTTCTAGCGGAGGATGTCGTCGTCTCCCTCTGTCTTTTTTCTTCTTCTCTCTTCTCTCTGTTTTTCTTCTTTCTCTTTTTTTTTCCCCCCTCTCTCGCTCTCTATATTTCTTTTTTATTTCAGATTCTGCTACGACGTACATCTTGCGGTCATTGCTGACTTGGTCTAGGATTGCACGAGTGTTCGGTTGTTGCCATCTACACTTTGTTGCGCGGAATAACTGTCGTGGGGGTTGTACTACGCATGTGTGGCTTGAACTGGCTTCGCTATTTGTAGAAGTTTTCCGATCTTGTCGCTATGGCTAATAACGGTGCGCCTGCTAGGTTCCCACAAACCTATTTTAATTATGGTCAGCCTAGCCATTTTTCTAAGTGGTGTCGTAATCGTGACGCCAATTCTAACAGTGTCATTGTTACTACTCAACCTCCTCTTCTTAGTCTTCCCTCGTCTGATAATAACAATAATGGTAGCAATCATGGTCATTCTCACACCACCGGTAGCTCTGATTCGGGTGAGGGGCAATACACTCGTGGATGGCTGCGCCAGCACGTGGATACTCTCAAAAGTATCGTCGTGGTGATGAAGATTTGCCATGACGCCGAGATTGAAAGAGAACGGGTGAAGAAAGAAGAAGAGGAACGGCTTAAGAGTGAGTTAGCAGAAGAGCAACGGAAGCTGCAAGAGAAGAAGGATCGCGAAGTTTTTCATGCGCAGATTTCGGATGCCATGAATAGCAAACTCGATCTTGTTTGTGTCCTTATGGAGAAGAAAGAGAAAGACAGTGACTCAGAGGAGGTTGCCAAGTTGAAAGCGCAGATGGAAGAGTTGCGCAGAGGTCAGTCGAAAGGATCGACATCAACTGTTGTTGTGAAGGGTAGGTCCTCGAACAACGATTTGGTTGAGCAGTTGCTTCGAGAGCAGGAAGAACTGAAGAAGCGGTTAGCCAACATCACCTGGTCCATCAGTGACCAACGAGTCACCACACTCGAGAAAGAGTTGGCTATGGCGCAGAAGTCACATGATGAGGCACTTGTGGCGGCTGATACTTGGAAGAAAGAAGCCCTGAGACCGGGCAACAAACATGGGAATGTGGTTCTTCCCACTCCAGTCTCACAGCCTCCTGTGAGGACACGTGTTACTCCACTGCCGGTATCGCCCTCTGGTGCGTTGCGGAAAGCAGCTGAAGATTACCGGGAACTGATTATCCGACACCAGGAGGAGGTGGAAGCCTTGAAAGGGCTTCGAGCTCGGGACATGAATGATAGACGTAAAGCAGAACAGGAGGCTGAGCGATTGCATGAAGCTTTGAAGATGAGCAAAGAGAAAGGTAAAATGCACACGACACCCCGATCTGAGTTTCAGGCTCGTCTTGACGATGCGGACGAAGATCGGGCAAAAAAGACGTGTGCGATGTTGAAAAAGAAGACTATCGAAATCCCCGAGGAGGAGGACGGCAAGACGAACGATAGGGAGGCCTTTGTCAATGAGATGCGAAAAACATTGAAGCTGATGAAGAAGGATGAGATCGTTTCTATTTGCCTCAAATAAGGTATTCATTATTCCACCTTGGAGGCGTCGAAGGAAGCGATTACTAAGCTGCGGACCGAGAGGGCCTTTGGCGATCATGGTACCAATGAAGGGAAGGGATGTGTAAGACCTACGGATGAGGACTCCGAGGATGTTACGACTTCTGATTCTAACAGCAAGGGCGATGATGCCGATGCCAGCATTTCGTAGATTCGTACCCGGACGCAACTCGTGTTTTGAAAATTACTCGTCGTTTTTGCACCACTCGTTCTACTTCCTCTCAACTCCTACGATACAAGCAGTTGAATTCGCTTTTATGTTTGACTATTGTTTCCCTCATCTATCTTGGCCGGATTCCGTGGGCTTTGAAACTTCGTGGTCTTATCTCATTTGCTCTTACTTGTGATGGTAAGCTTGAAGTTGACAGATGTAATGGACCGCTTGTCTATGTTATGATCTCTCCATGGAGTAAACACTTGTATGCTGGTAGCACTACTCGGAATTTAGACGAGAGATGGCGGGAGCACGTTTATCAGTGTACCAATGAGGAAGCTAGCAAGAAGGGACATAATGAAAAATTGTATCGGTGGTAGAGATGGTGCGGAATCTCTAATTACGTTGCGGTCCCGATCTGTTTCTGTTCGGCTGACGATCTGCTTGATACTGAGAAGTTTTTTATTTGATTTTTCTCTGCTTCGATGAATTCGAAAGATAGAACGACACAACCTAAACGACCTAGGTTGGGGAAAAGTGAAAGGTTACGTAAGAAACGAAAGTCGAGAGTGGTTTCTTCGTCGCCTGGCCCTGAGATTCGTCATGTTTGCTCTTTTCATTCCTCTGTTGGTTTGGCCTCGAACAGTTTGTTGAAGATTTTATATTATTGCTCTAATTAGGGTATTTCTTTGTTGTGTGGTCGTGTGTCAAGGTGGTAATGTGTCGATTGATCGGTGGAAAGTTTTGAAGAGGTGTTATGGTGCATCGGTGGTATCTAGTGTTTTTGGTACTGATCAATCTCGGGTCTGTAAGGGATCGTTGTTTTGTAAGGTTGTTTTACACTTTCATTCGATCACTCCGTTCCTTCAGGAATCTTTAATCCTCAAACCTTTTCTGATTCCTTTGCTTAGCAATCCCTCGAAACGTTCGTTGTATTGTTGGAGTCTTGACAAGTTTGTCCTTGCTAATTCTGTTGTTTGTACCTTTCGTGAGAAACGATCCCGTTCGAGACTACAATGCATTATCTCTAAGGTTGCGCACGTTGTACACGGTGTTCTGCTGCGAGAGAGGTTGGTGGTAAAAATTGTTTATGATTGCTCACTTAACAAGTCTAAACTTTGAATGTTGTGTGCGAAGCTCATTAGTGGATTGGATATTATTCCGGCTTGGAAGGATTTACTGATTCGACGCATTCGGGTGGTGTGGAGGAAGAATAAAACTGTTGGTGATCATTTGCACAACTTTTGATTTTTTGCTCATTTGGACGACCTCTGTTGTTCTTGGAACTCTTCCGACTCTATCTTTCCTAGAATCGACTGTTACGTTTCGTTCCACATCAATGATGCTGACTTTCTTCTGCATTGGACAAAGAACTCCAAGAATATCTAGCATCCTTTTTTTACCAAGTCCATTTTTCAATTCCGACAACAATTTTTTTCTTCCTTTCATACCTTAAAGTCTCTTACTCCGTTTGAGGATATTGCTCTCTCTAAGACCAGACTGCTGGAATGTTTCAACCTGGTTCATGGTTGTTCTTCTGACCACGTTGACGACATTGGCTGTATTAAGGAAAAAATTAATGGGCTGGTTTGGACTCCTATTGATCATAATCTAGGTGATTCGTTTGTTTGTTGTCCTACTATCTATCGTGAAGGTTTTGCTAAGCTCTTCTTTAACAATCCTTCTTACTGCCTTTATCCTTCCAATGTTGAAAATATTATTCTCCGTTGCAAACTTGACTACTGCAATTCTGGGCTGCCTGTTATTGCGAAATGGAGATCGTCTGGATCTATTGGACAGATGTATTGCATCCCAAAACATAAGGATGTCACGCGATGGTGTCCTGTCTGTCCTTTCTTTCCTGAAGGTGGTTATACTGGTAGTCGAAAAATTTCACGTGTGGTTAATTTACTTTTATGGAGTCTCCCTTCACGTCTTCACTTCAATCTTCGCAGTACTAAGGATTTGATCCAAGAAGTTGGTCATATCAATAAGGAGTTGAAATCTGATGAAGTGTCGGTGGGAGCTTCCTTTGATATAAAGAAAACGTTTTCAAACCTACCACATCAATCCATTTTGAAGGCCCTGGAGTGGGTGGTTGACTTTTGGTGTGTTGAAGGTTTTGATAAAAAGTGGCGATACAAACCAGAGGAAAGAGTGTGAGACTTACCAGGAGCAAGAAAGAAGATGGGTGGTTGTTTCTTCCTCTCAGGGTGGTGCTTTATTTCGTTCGTTTCAAACTTAGGAATACCTTTTTTCCGGTCTCTGGGAAACTACTGCAGCAAGTGACAGGTATACCTATGGGAAAATCCACAAGCCCTACTACCAGTATTGGACTCGTGAACATGATCGGCACCGGTCACTTGAACGTGAGCGACCGTTCATTTGGAGTTTTTTTTTGCCTATAATAAGTTTCGGTTGCTTGATTGCTGTTTTTCTGCCGGTTGCTCGAATTGCCGGTCTTTCTATTATGTTTGAGGCTTAGATGTGGTTAGGTGACCGGTTTTGACTTGTTACCAGTTGAGACCTTATTGTGGGGCGTCGACCTCGAACCTTTTACCTACTGGACGTTAGATTTTTAATCATTGGAGGTTGTAGGATTCGAACCTTGTATTTTGTTGGGACTAGGCCGAAAATGTCAGATGTTTCAGACATCTTAGGAATCATCGCCAGGTTGGGGTACTATTACCCGCTGGATCTGATCTTTTGATCTGCTGTGAGTTGGTAATTTTGCTTTCTAGAAGGTCTCGTAGGAGCATAGATTTAGTCCAGTTTGTTGTTTGTATTCTTTCTGAGATTTTGGATGCCCTTGTGGTTGATTCATGTCTGACCTTAGTTGTTGCTAGACGTTTGACTGACGCTTCTAGGCCTTGACGGTACAACTACCTGATCTCGCACAGATAAATAGTTTAGGATTGTCCAAGCAACTAAGCGACATCAGACCCCTGATGAGTGCTGGTGGGCGGTGGGCGGCCAGCCGAAACCGGTATGGTCAGTACGCCGGAAGAACTACGGTTCTTTGCTCATCATTCTTCATGTGTATTCTTTATCAGCGTCGTGTTCGGGTGAATCAATGATTTTTTACTATTTACTGTGCGTTCCGTCTTCCATCTTATCTTTTTCTCTTTGTCGTCGTCTCTCTTTGTCTTTTTTCTTCTTCTCTCTTCTCTCTCATTTTCTTCTTTCTCTTCCCCCCCCCCCCCCCCCCCCCCCCCCCCCCCTCTTTTTTTTTCTTTCTCTCTCTCTCTCTCTCTCTCTCTAGTTCTCTCTCTCTCTCTCTTTCTCTCTCTGTGTGTGTCTGTGCCGACCCCGTCCCTCTCTCCATCTATCTTTCTTTTTTATTTCACTTTCTGCTACGACGTACGTCTTGCGGTCATTGCTGACTTGGTCTAGAATTGCACGAGTGCTCGGATGTTGTTATCTATACAGTTGCGATGCCGCGGCCACACCTGAGGTAAAAAAAAGGAGAAAAAAAAAAAAAAAAAAGAGAGAGAGCATCTCGTCACGKGGCTGGGTCACGGCCGCGATGTTTCGGCCACGYCCGRRAAAAAAAAAAAAAAAAAAAAAAAAAAGAGGCCGCATGGGGCGCATGCGGGACTGGACTGCAGTTGCAAACTCTGCCTTGCGACTTTTATGCGTGTGAAGTGTTTCGACTGCAGTTGAAACTTGGGACAGTACTGGACTCTACTGGACTCTAAAAAGGCAATTCGAAACGCATTTACAAACTGCTTTCGTGACTGCGCCCAGTTACCCCTAAAAGTTAAAAAACAGCTGGTGAGAATTTATGAAAACGCTTGGTACGATTCCGGATTGCTTGATGAAGGAGTCAAACGTGGTCAATATCAGAGTGAAGGAAAGAACCTTTGTTCCTTTGTCTCGTCTCAAACAAATGTGATTGAATGTATGATCCACAAACAAATGAATCGAATCTATGCGGATGGTAAAGACTATAAAATGCAGTTTATGTCGTGGATGACACTAGCTAAAATGAAAACATTCAAAAATATGGCTCAAAAAAATTTATGAATTAGATGTCCTCGAGTGCCCCTTCAGCTGATGTTTATGTTGCTAACTGCTGTTAAAAACACCTTTGGGGCAGTTATCAAACAACATCCTACCTAACCTGATGTTGAAGAACCAGAATTGGGCACAGTGAGATTCGACCTCGAACCCCAAGCGAGATCGAGGGTCAAACCACGGTTGGCGGTAGGAATCCCACACCAGGGAGACTACTACTTTGAGATTATTTCGACAAGTACTCCCTTGTGCGGTCTTTGCCGAGCACTCTATCACGACGAGACGGATGAGTGTTTCCCTGTGAGGGCAGAAGCGGGACACGATCCTTTCAATCAGGAGGAGGAAAAAATCCTCCCTCCGGAACCACCTTTTTCAAGCTTTGTTCCGTTGGGAGAACGTCCCCCGTTGACCGGATATCGAAGGTTCTTCCCTCCAGGAGACAAGTGCAATCGCAATCGGAATCCAAAAGCAGGTAGGTTCTATGAAAAACCGACAGGTTCATCGGACAGCCAAGGGACTGGCGGCAGTAGGGTAAAGGGTAATAAGTCCAAAACGAAGCAATCTGGATCACGGGGAAGGACAAGGAGAGAACCATTTGAAGAAGAAATGGAGGAAGACGAAGTGGACAAGGAGGAGGAAAAAGATGGAGGAGATGGGGAGTCTACCTACCGTTTGGGAAGACGGGCAGTGGGAGTTTTGGCCAAAGGGAAGAAGAAAAGGAAAGGGAAACCCAAAGAAGATCGACATGAGCGATCTCAGAAATGAGTGCCGAGAGCGGCGAGAGGCAAGGGAGGGGGCCAGGGTTTGAGAGATGACGGTATAGACAATAGAAAGAGCCTGAGAATGGGACAGATGGATGGGACGGCGGGATTGATAGAGGCGGGTCCCGTGACAA